GGCCGGCCTGCCCTCGCTGGCCTCGCGGGGGCTGCAGCCCCTGCCCGGCGGCCGCGGCAGCCAGTGCGGCGAGGAACCCTCGGACGCCGTGCAGGGCCTGGGCCTGCTGCTGCTGCTGCTCACCTGCGCGCTGCCCCTGGCCGTCAGCCTCCTGTGCTACTGCCGCGTGTCGTGCCGCCTGCGCCGCCCGCCCGCCCTGGGCCGGGCCCGCGGGCGCTCGCTGCGCATCATCTTCGCCGTGGAGGGCGCCTTTGTGGGCTCCTGGCTGCCCTTCGGCGCGCTGCGGGCCGTCTTCCACCTGGCGCGTCTCGGGGCGCTGCCGCTGCGCTGCCGCCTGCTGCTGGCGCTGCGCTGGGGCCTCACCCTCGCCACCTGCCTGGCCTTCGTCAACAGCTGCGCCAACCCGCTCATCTACCTGCTGCTGGACCGCGCCTTCCGCGCCCGCGCGCGGCTCTGGGCCTGCGGGCGCGCCGACCGCCTGGCGCGCGCGGTCAGCTCGGCGTCCTCGCTGTCCAGGGACGACGGCCCCGCGTTCTGGAGCTCCAGCAGCGGTGGGGGGCGAGCCCGCACGGCGAGCCGGGCTGCGGCCGCCTTGTAGCTGCCCTGGCGCGTGGAGGAGGCAGACGGAGGAGGCACGGGCAGTGGGCGCGCGCCCCGGACACGCCTTTTCTCCTGGCCGCTGCAGCCCGTCCTGCTGTACTCTGAGTGTCCGTCATCAGCTCTCCCAGAAGCTCAGAGCTTTTTGAACTCCTCCCAAGCCAGGCTGCTGAGACTGGCCACGCTCTCGGCCCCGGGGGCGTCTGGGCTAATCTTCTCCAGTCCAGTAAAGTCCTGTGAGATGGAGCCCACAGCAACCTGGACAAGCACAGCGTCGCCAAGCACAGGAAAGGGAAGTGGCTTTCCTTCTCTGCCCCATCCGGAACAGCACTGGCCAGCATACAAAGCCAGACCCCAAAAGCCACTCTTGTCCCGGCTGTGCTTTTCTCTGGTCCCCTGCAACAGCCGTTGCCTTCTGAGAAATACTCTCTCTGAGTTAGACCTTCTGGCCTTGTCACTCTCCAACAACGTCTGTGGAATGTGGGGATCCACAGCCCCGTTGTACTCAGTCATCTTGGTAGCTATGTTTTGCTATGTCATCAGTCACCATCAATTCAGATTTTCATTTTCAAAGCTCACCAAAGCCGTGGGAACCGCCCCAGTGCGAGCTGCCCAAGTTCTCCCCCCAGCAGTGTCCCCAGGAGCTCTAGGCCTGCCCTGGTTTTGTATCTCCCCCCCACTCCCACGAAGCGGCAGGACTCACCTGGGAGTTGTCCTGGCCCTTCCCTCTGGACAAAGGCTTCTGAAAATCTCTCACCAGGCTTTCAGATTCTCTGTCACTCAGCTGGGGACCCTAGAATCTTCTGTGAGTTCACCTTCCTCAATAAACACTTTTGCTAGCCCAAGATTGACCACCGTGTCTGTCTTTACTGGAGCATTGGGAGTGAAATGAGTGTCAGGAGGTGAATTGCACACGGGGCAGACAGAACTCAAGCCTGTAGTTGAGGTTGACCTCAGGGTGACCAGGGTGGGTGATGTCGGCGACTGTGACCGTTAGGGGCATCAGTGGGGTTACAGTTGTCCCACAGGAAGCAGCAAATCATCTATGCTTATTATTTTAAAGGACGTTTCACATTTTGAAGGTTACAGAGAGAAAAAAAGAGGTTTAAGGGCATCTGCCAGCCAGGTGTCACTTCAAAGAGGAAATGTGTCATTGTGATTTTCAAATGTGTCTGGCCTTTTTCCCTGTCCTTTTGAGACCATCCAGCACAAATGTTTGGCGTTATCCATTTTCTGACTCTGTGACTTATCCTCTGAGGATTCTGCAGGTTTGGAAACTTAGTGTTTATACTGTTGGTTTAAGAGAATTTGGCCTAAGAAATGCCAGTCAGTGCCGGGAAAGGAACTCAGTGGTCCTCCTTGAGAACCACTCCCGGCCGGAGCCCCACCAGGCCAGGCAAGAGGCTGCAGCCTTTCGGGTCAGCACTTCAGCGCCGGCCATTCGTCCTTGGGCTGCTTAATGCCCTGCCTAGCACCACCGCGTTTCTCTTCAGTGTTCGGAGCTGACATCACGCCCCCTGGACCCCACTGTGCCCATTCCTCCCAAACACCCGAGAGAGGTGAGCCTTGCAGCCTGTGGGGCTGCCGGTGCCGGCAGGACAAAATTCAGACACCTGACTGTCGGAGGGCTCAGGCGTATCATGGCCCTTCCTTCTTGACGTTGCTCTCTGAGGCAAGAAATCGTTCTGTTTCGTAGGGAGAGGCCTCAGCAGAGGGAAGCTGCCTCTCTGGGCTTGTGTGCAGCGAAACCTCAGCTAACAAAAGAGGTGCTTCTCCAGGCTGTTGGGACTGGGTCCCCACCTGCCAGTTTGCTTCTCCCACTTACTGACCAACCGGGGTCCCCAAAGACAGACAGGAAGAGGCCTCTCCCCACCCAGGCGGGCTTTCATCTCCCCTCTGGCAGGAGTTATTGAGAGTCAGCATTTCCCTCCCGCTGCAGACCTGGCGATGCGGAGAGAAGGGCCTCTCCCTTCGTTTGGGTAGGTAGCTGAAGTCTGCCTTCTGTCCCTGGGAAGTGTCCTCTTGTACTCAGACAGGAATGACAGGGGACCACTGAGCTCCCATCCCTCCCTGGGGAAGATGCGGCACGGACTCAGCAAGGATGAGCTGAGCACCCTACATATGTTGCTGGTGGGAGTGTAAATGGCAAATTCTTTTAGAAAGCAGTTTGTAAATCTATATCCAGAGCTTTAGAGACAGTCATGTGCCATCCCTCCAAAATCTTCATTCCTTTTGACCCTGTGATTTCTCTTCTGAGGCAATAATGATAAATAAGAAAAGTTGGATGCATGAGTTATAGAAGTTCTTTTAAGACCTAAACCTGAAAGGAAGCAACCTAACTGTCTGATGGCAGTGTAATGCCTTCGTTAATATAACGGACTGTTAGGTAAATTTTAAGATGTCGCTTAAAGAGAGATTGGAAAATGTCGATGATAAGTTAAAAGAAAAAAGTAACAAAATTCCTTGTGTTGTAAACACCCACACACTTCAAAGCCTGTAGGGTGTAGGATAACTGTTAGCGTTGGTTCTGGTGAAGCAAAGCATTACATGCCTCCTAGTCCTCTGGATAAAAACGATCATTCGCTCTCTTCGTTCTCAGCACAGGTTTTAAGCATCACGGGTATGTCTCTTTTCTCTTGGTGCAACTAATAGAATGCCATCTATTTTATTTCTCTGTCTCCCCCATCAGGATAGGAGCTCAGTACGTGAAGGGAATTGGTCTGTTTTACTCAAGCCGTAGCCCTAGAGCTTGGAACAGAGCCTGGCAGGCTGTGGGCACCGGTCACGACCTGGTGAATGAATGATCCCCGGGACGAAGTCATAATGTGAAATAATACCATATACTGTGAAGAGGAAGAGGAAGGATCTTGCATTCTCTGTATGTTTACAAGGGCACACAAGGAAACCTGGAAGAAATACCATAAATGCTGATGGTGATTGTGCTGGAGTGAGGGCTTATAGGTCCTTTCCCTCCATTTCTTTATTCTCGAAATTCTCGATCGCTTTTTTTAAGGGCAGTTAACACAGGGCTGTGCAAGTGCCGAAGCTCTGGAACTAAACTCAGACCCGGGCCCTGACTCGGCTCAGTCACAGCCCACTGCCCGTCCTGGGGCCTCTCTCTCAGCCCCTTTAGTCTCACTTTCTTCATCTGAAGGATGGAGATGACTGTATCTGCTGGCTGCCTCAGAGATCAAAGGAAATCGTGTTCTTGAAGGTACTTTGTAAGCTGCGGTGTTTTAGACAAACATACCACGGGAGCCCCACTCTCAGGATTATGTTGTTCCAGGCCCGGCTGCCCTTCCAAGTCCCCATCCCCATCCCTGTCCCCGTCCCCATCCCCATCCCCATCCCCGTCCCCGTCCCTGTCCCCCTCCCCGTCCCCGTCCCCGTCCCCGTCCCCGTCCCCGTCCCCGTCCCCGTCCCCGTCCCCGTCCCCGTCCCCGTCCCCGTCCCCGTCCCCGTCCCCGTCCCCCTCCCCGTCCCCGTCCCCGTCCCCCTCCCCGTCCCCGCCCCATCCCTGTCCCCGTCCCTGTGGAGCATGTGGGCAAGAGCTGGGCACATTGGCCATGTTGATTCTGACTTGATTCTTGTGACTAATTCTGGGCTTTCTTCTCACCTCCTTCGACCCCGTGAGTCCTTCTCAGGGCAGTGTGGGAACCGCTGGTGATGAGTGATCTGGAGAGTTCAGGAGAGTGGCAGAGCTGGCGAAGCTGCTCTTGGTGGTATGACTCAGCCCCCATATCACCTGGGGGTAAAGTGAGACTCTGGACACTTGTGAGGACATCTCATTTGTTAGAGCTCAGGGGGTCTACATCTCTAATCCTTGGCTGAGTGGCCTGCAGGGAGCTTCTCACCACCCCCCATCAAGCCCCCAGCCTCAGCTGAATGGGGCACACGATGGACAGACCCACAGCCCAAAGACCAGGGATGCTTGGTACGTGAGAGGGAAAGAGGAAGCCAAGATGTGAACTCGCTCCTCCTCTTCGTCATCTTCAAAGTCAGAAAGTATTTACGGGAGTGTGTGACGGCATCTCTCATGAAAGCAGGCACTGCCTGAGATGCTGTTTACGCACGTCACAGGACTTGAGAGCTGGGAGCCCTTTGTCCATTCCGAGAAGGAGGACACTGAGGACCAGAGGTGGGAAGTCACTTGCTAAGGTGACAAGAACAACCAGTCACGTCTCTGTAGTGCATCACACATACACGTGATTTCATCCTTTCTCATGACCCTGTGGCAAGCAGGAATGATTCGATTCATTTTATTGATGGGGAAACTGAGGCTCAGGAGTAAAGAGACTTGGTCAAGGTCACAGACGGGCAAACAGTGCAGCTTAAACCCTCGTCTCTCCCTCCCACCCTCTCTTGCCCCGGCCACCCCTCCTGTGTGACAACCGTTCTGAACCCAGCTCACACCCAGGGACTCCCTGACCCAGGCTCTCTCTCAAAAATTTTAAGAGTTTCCCCTTGATTATTAAAGTAATGCAGGTTTTTTGTTTAAAAAAAGCATAGAAATTTATAAAGGAAAATATGAAAAACACCCATTATTCCCCATGAAGAGATACCTCAGAGTATTTTCCTAAGTAAATGATAATACACATGAATGTTTTTCCAGCTAAATTGGGGTCAATCTATATGAGATCAAAGACTGAGTCTATTTTGTCCCCAAGTGTATACCCCGTGCCTGGCACAAAATGGGCCTTCAAGAACTCTGTGTTGAATGTGTATTCATATACATTATTTTGTAGCCTGCTTTCTTCTCCTGGCAACATGCGGTATTTTATCATGCCATTAGATACTATTCTAAAACATGTTTTTAAGGTTACATTACATCATTATATAAAATGTAACCTCATTTATTTGACCAAGCCCCTAATCTTTTTTCAATTTTTCACTCTTATAAATAATTCCGTGATGAACATACTTGTAAAAAATCTTTATATCCATTTCTGATTCTTTCTTCAGGACAAATTCCTAGAAGTGAAATTATTCATCAAAGATTAT